TATTGTGATATTTTATCATAAATATTGATTTATCACACTTAGGTGTGTGTGTTAAATATGTATAGCTGCAGGTTGCTATTATTACTGTAGTTATTATTATTTTTTGATTAAGTATGTATGGAAAAATTATTATTATATTGCCACGCGTACGTTTTACTTCTTTATTTTGGATTCGGAACAACATTTTTTCTATAGCACTTGAAGGGTAGACACCGGTCAAGTTCATTATTCTTGGTTTTTTTGACAGTATGATATTTTTCGTGTGGTGCGAATAACCTTAGGACATCTAATATTTAGACAGTTTTGTTGATAGATTACAAATTGGATATTTTTTAAGAAACCCGAGAGTTTAGTATTTTCTGTATTAAAACTTGAATTTTGCCGCGTGTTTCATTATCATAAACCAAGTCATTATTTCAAAAGCTATTCATGTTTTTGAAAATATTTGTTCACATGATTTCATGTCGTTCAAAAAATATATTGATTTTTTTAAATCGAAATACTCAGAATAATAATATTCTGAATCGGAACAAAAATATGTTATGTTGTCATTCAAAAGAGTACATATAACTTAAAAATGATAAGTAAAAAAATATAATCTTTTCCAATAATTTTGTTTTGTAACGACTTAAAATTATAATATTATGTAAAAGAAATATGTTCAAACTTTGAACTTCAAAGACGTTTGAGGTTTCTGAAATAATGGGTGTTTTATCAACGTAAGGTACTGGATCAATCTGTATTCTTAAGTTTGTTTTATTTGGATAATAATATTACGTGTATACCGAGGTTTCGGTATGGTTTTAATTTCTTGTTCGTTTGTTGGTCTGAAAATATACTGTAGTATGTAGCTATATGCCTATATATTGTAAGTTTTAAGTGAAGTATAATGTGTGGCTCGAATAACGTTTGAATGTAGGAAACATTGAGTAAAAGCTAATTTTAATAACTCTTTTACATAATTTAATATTGCTTTACTGGAATGTAATTTACATCGTAATATCGTGTATGTATGATACATAATACATATTGTGTATGTGTAAGCCTTTTTCTAATTTTACTTTGTGGCTTATATTAAAAAAGTATTTGATTCAATTTTCAGAATACGTCGTCAAAGATCTAGTTACTAAAGTTATCATGAAAGTTACAAACATTTTTAGTTAATAATATATATATTGCTATAAAATAATTGGACATTTAAAAGTCAAGCTAATTTGATTTGACGAAAGTGTTTCAGTATGAGATTCACCAAGCATGCTCACCCCCCCTTTTTTCATTTAATTATGAGTTTATTCAAATTTCGGGTTTTGGAATTCTGAAGTATACTTCATAACCTTATTTTAAAGTACATAATATATTATTCGTATATAATTTAATGAATATCCTGTGATAATGCCAATTCATTTTTTTCAAATGAGAATTACTTGATGCTGTAACGATAATGGTTCCATGGAAATTATAGACACTAATATTAATCTTAATTCAGCATTTTATATTTTGTACTAAAATGTTACTATACTAAGTAAGTAGGTACTAGTTAAATTAAAAAATTAGGTACATACATTTTTTTTAAACAACCAATTTTAATAACTATTATTTTGATTATATTATATATTTTAATAGCACAGTGACAACTCATTAGAATTTAAATTTAAATACATAAACATTTCTAAAAAAGTCGTCTAATTTGTAATATTATTACAGCAAAAAATATTTGTTTTCATTTGAAAAAAATAAATTTGCATCACCTTAGGTCACTCCTTAAATTATGTAAAAAATAGTACTATAATGTTGTAATGAGTATTTGAAAAGATTGCCCTTATATTTATACTTAACAATCAGAATTTGAATAAAAACTGTTAAAACAAAAATGGTGGGGGCATGCTTGGTGAATCATTCTATAATATTTGCCATTAACCCAAATTTGAAATTCGTTATACTTGTTGTAGGTCAAGTAGTTGTTTTATAACAAATTTATAGTAGTGCAGTGCAGGTAATAAATGTGTTGGAGCGTCAGACCTTGAAGTAAATAGTCTAATTAAACGGCAGGAAATCACGCGAGATATAAAGATCTGAACGTATTTTGATTAAACTTGGAAAGTTTTAGAAAACAAATTAAAGTTAGATAATATTTAGTAGAAATTAAAGGATTTGAAATTTGTGATTACCTACTGTTTCATGGAGTTTTTGTATTAGCACTGCAGTAGTGCATTAATATACGGGTTACATACTGTAATTATTTAAAAATTTGGAAATATGCTTGTGAATATAATATTAAAATTGCAAAGGCTTTATGAATATTTGTGGAATCTGGATGTTTTTAAGTGAGATATTATTTATATTACAATGGACAATGGTTGAAACGATACAACCAGCTATCTCCAAATAGCACAATAATAGGAACATTTTTTTTATTTCTATAATTTGAAAAATAGAATATGTATTATAGTTGATGTTAGGCACTTATGGATCACTTATTTCCAGAACAGGTTTTTTCATTTGTGAATTTGTGATGTGACATTACTATTTTATTATTTTAGTATTTGAGTTTGCCGTATAAGTACTGCATATTAATAATGGTTATAATTGAAATATAAACTTTCAGAAAAATTTAATTGTTATTGGATTTGAAAAGAAAAATGATTTATAAGTGTAATATAGGACTTCCTTTGTTATAACTCATATTCTTTTAATATCCAAAATTGTAAATTATCATTAATTTTTATGACGAAACCATTGTTATAGACACACATGTATACATACGTATATATACATAAATCCCAAAACAGAGTTTGGTTATAAATAAATATTGTTTTTGCTAAAATGTTTTCATATTAATTCAATATACATACATACATATTCATACACTATATCCGCAATATAATTTTTACTTAAAAGGCGTATTTTACTATATCGGTTGCCTTTGAATTGTACTTAGCAAACAAAAACATTCAATGGAATTTTGTTTAATACTGAAGAATTGAATCCATTTTATTTTATGGATTATTGTTTTTCGAGATTCTTAAAGTATATTGGGAAAATAACGAAGTTCTTACATTATAAGACAATAATAATAAACGATATAAATCGATTTTATAAATTCACCACTTAGAAGATACTCTATAATATGTTCAACATAGTATAACAATAGTATATAGAAACAAGTTAAAATAACCATAAACGTTAACATAGACATTATTACGATTTTCCGGACGACTTTAATATAAGAACACGGTATTGTAATATTTATATATTTTATTTACCTGAAACGAATGAAAAACGGATTCTCGGGACTTCAAAGCCCAAAGCGATTTAACCGTTTTAATGTAATGTATTGACATATTGTTACTAAAACATGGGATTTCGAGAAAGGAAAAGCACTTGTCCAAACAATACACACGACCACGTGGATAGGATATTATATTGAAATATATTAATAATGGACAATCTACAATGGACCGAGTCCACCATTACAGCTTACCGTGGTAGTAGCATGGCTCGAGTACCCTAAGATAATGAATGTTTGTTAAGTCATAATAATATTATTGAACCTTGGCTTCCGCTGCACCAAACGTCATCGGATCACAAAAAAATCTTAAAAACAAATATATTTTATACAATCATGCTACAGTCAGTGAAAATTCCCAGAAATTTTCAAGTTCATTAAAATCATCGAGAACGAGAGCGAGTTAAATTTTAGTGGAAAAAAATCAAAGAGATATACAATATGTGTATAACAAGACATGTTATCGATACTTGCTGCTAAAGGTGAAGAGTACCTATGATGTAATACAAATACGTTTTTTTTTCCTATTATAATATAATAATAATATTCTTTTCAGTATTTCTATATCAATATTATAAGGGTAAGAAAAACGATCAGATGGCCATCTGAATGCTACGAATGACAATATTGTGTGATGTTTTAGGATAATATAATACATTCACATTATAAAATCAACATAATATTAATTGTATTTGACATTATATAGTTTTTATTCCTATTTATTCTTCTAGAAAGTAGAAATATATTATATACTACCATGATACTTGGACCGAAAGTTGGTTTTGTGACATTAGTCGTTATCATTTTTTATTACTCAAAATGCATTATAATAAATATAATGTAGATCAAGACGAAATAATTATTATTCAATGGTTCATTAAAATGTAAAAATTAATAATGTATAGGGCCTAAAAATGAGCTTATTTTACTAAATTTCATCTTAAAAAGTTTCGATTTTCTTCATTTGGGCGGAGTTCATGTTTTGACGATATCCCTTTTTGTACGTGACCTAATTTCATACTATTTACGAGGTCCATTTTGTTATTATCATCAAAACATTTGCACGTGACAATAATTTAAGTATCTGAAATATTATGAAATTTACAGTATCTTGGAAAAATTTGATCTAATATTACCAACATTTTGTTAGATGCCTTCACCGTTTTCAACAATCAAAAACAAAATAAGCCATTTAGTATCAAAAATAAATACTAATAATATTTTACTTTGGGATAAATAATTATAATTTAAACAGTAAAATATAAGAAAGTTTATTTTTTTTGTTATACATAACTAGCTGTAGGTAATAATGTTTTTGAAAACTAATTTAATTACAATGATTATTAACGATATCAATATTTTGTTATTCTTTTCTTTTAAAATAATATTATGGTTTAATGTTTATTTTTTATTTAATTAAGAAAATAATGTAGGTAATTTAATTTATGACTTGTTGGGTGCATAATAATATTTTCTAACCGTATAGTCAACCGACAAAAGCAAATAATATACAAACCGATACAGAAGAAATGTTTTGGTTACCTAATTATTATTTGATTACATTTTAATTTTCTTTACATTATCTTCAGATATATTTAACTCTGAAATGTTGTTTTCGGTATCCTAACTAATTGGTTTTTTACCGATGACATTTGTGCAAGAACGAATAAAAAGGATTCACCACTCAATGTTCTACTACGTATTCAAAAAATACCTGAGCATATAAAGTATGTCTCCATCAGGTTTGATGCGTATCAACACGTTCGGCACAGTAACGAATTGGAATTCTGCGTGTTTTGCATTTGGAAAGTAAACTTCAGGTTTCCAGATGGCTTTGACTAAATTCGGATCATTTAGGTCCAGTGATTCCGTTATGTCTTTGTGTTGCAATCTCGCATCTTGCCACTTTTGTCGTAAATACAGGTCAACCTCGTAATCCTGTAAAACAAACAATTAATTATTATTTATTCAACAGGTTATATATGGTATTATATAGGTATTATACGTTTGCCGGTCATTAATTGATATTCGCGTTAAACTAATACTATAGATTAGTAGTATAAGATTATTATATTACTACGTGTGGCAAGAAAACACTTAGATAATCTCAAGATATTTTATAGGTCATATAGCAATCAAAGCCGAATTCGTTTTTAAGGTAATTTTTCTTTCGTTCGAAAACTATTTTTTGAATAAACCATCATGTGAATATCATACCTACGGTACGTAATTTTACATGTAAACGTCTAATATAGCAATCGTAAAAAGTATCAGTATACACGTGCTAAGACCAATCCAATCGATGTTCCGGGTGGCGTATCTGGGATTTTTTTTTTAAGAGGGGCGCCATTTAAATCCATTTATGTATAATGAATAATGACAATATATATTATTATATTACTAGGTATATATATTACCTGTATATAAATTAAAATAAAGTTAAGGCTATAAAAAAAAATCATCTAATAAAAACGATCGGCCAATCAAGACATTCATATATTATATTATTATAATATAGAATGGGAAAAATAACCTTAAGGTTCGTAATATTTTTATACTTGAAACAAGGGTAATATCCTCCAAACACCTCCCTGCTTGTTTACGAAACTGAATGCCTCTATCTTTATATAAGTATTACGTTATCTCATTATTGCTAACGAAACACTACTAACTGTTATCTGACTATATGCAATCGACACAATATATACACAGATATATGAACTGAGGAAAAAAAGTAGGGCTATGTAAACGTGTGTTTTTTTTTTGTTTTATCAAGCACTTTGTTGGCGGATCTTGGTGTTTTCGAAAAAAATAACAATAATAGTACCCGCCACCGAAGATTTCCACTATTGTTATAAGGTGTTGGAACAAGTGTGACACTCGTATTTAGATGATATACAATACATTTATATATGAAAAATAAAATACCACGAAAGTGCAGTATTATCATAACTTATTTTCTCAGTCAACATCGATTCTCCATTTTACACAAGCACGTATTTGATATTTTTCATTTTAAAATTGTACCCCGTATATATCTACTCATTATAATATTCGCGTGATTTTCAAGACCCGAGATGAGTCCACAGAGTTGTGTACGAACTAACTTATTATTTTGTCACTTCTCTGGTTAAAAATGATTTTATTAGGTACGCGGACGATAATCCACACTGCAGGCGAGTACAAGTTATATTTTATTGGATTTATTAGGTACGCATGGACGTAGTTTTAGTGACAAAACACGCCATTTTGTTGTTTTCATATAAGTAGTACGTCATATCCCCTCGAAACCAAAGTGATGTTTTTATATCGATCTGTCGCTGCTCCGATCGTTAATTAATATTGGATATGAGTTCAGCTATGAGGTGGTAATTCAAAGCAATATAATATCAGAAATACATTTAATATGTATTGTCATTTCTTTTTTCGTTTGTTAATTTTAATAGTACCTAGTTACTGATTCTTCAAATTCCATTAACCATCGAGAAAAAAGTTTTATTAGCCACCTTGAAAAAACTTTGTTATTAATTCGATGAAATCAAATAAAAAACTTTAGCGTATTCGGATGTTTGCTTGCCCAAAGAACTTTTTTTTATGAGGATTCCCAAGTGGCGTTATGTAGGTATGTACTATATGTATTATATATATATTATTTATTGGTAGTTACAACTTTCGAGAAGGAATTTGTATTGTGGTAATTTAGTGTTTCGAAATATAAATAAAATTAGTTAATATTACTATGGTAAAATAAAATACCGATTTTACAAGATAGGCATTATTTTATATGTTTATGAAAAACCTATTATAGATGTAGGTGCAAATTTTGGCATAACAATTTATTTTTAACTAATACTTAATCATCAAAAAATTAAATGTGACCTCAAGATTTTACATTTTTAAGATTTATTTATTACATTATAATATAGGTATTACAGTAGGTATGGAAATTAATTGTTTTTTTTTTTTTTGGTAGAATAATTAGATTATAAAAACAGAGTCTTAAGCTTCAAAATAACATATTTACTGTACTGGTACAGATACAATCGCTAAAAATTTTATAATTAGAAAAATTGATTATTCGGAATAAATATTTTTGAACATTTTAAATATATACGAGTGTGAAATATGTATGAGTTATTTAGGACCACTTGGATGCGTTTTTAAAGTATGTTACGGGACAAATACACACATCTTACATACAACTAATACGGCCATTTTCATGGTTTCATATAAACGGTTTTTCTTGTAAGTCCACGTCTTCCTTTTTGATTTTTCGACCGCATGGACGTACTGTGTTTAACTTAATCGTTAGTCATCTAATGGACTCCAGTGTCTTTTTTCATAGTTTCATGCCTTCACCATATCGACATTAGAAGGTCATTATCAGAAACTTGCACTACACAACACTCATCTCCGATATATCCGACGCACTCTCGGAGTTAGGTTACTCTGCCAGACGAGTCACAAACGTCATAAAAAATGGTCACCTATGCCCACCGTTTCTTGTGGAGTTAAATCCCAACACCAACAATAAAGAAATCCTGAACTTGTCTTCTATTTTGCTCACATATATAAAAGTCAAATTACCATATAGGACCATGACTGGTCCAGCTTAGTGCCGAAACTGCCAGAACTACAGTCACACCGCAAACTATTGTCACCATCCTTCCCGGTGTGTCAAATGTGGGGGTGATCATCACACCGATGTTTGGACCAAAACCAAAACCAGTCCAGCCAAGTGCGCCCTATGCATGGGCAATCACATTTCCAATTACAAAGGATGTACAATTTTCAAAGCTCTTCTCAAACGACTCAAAACCACACAATCCGAATCCGGTACTCACTTCTCTTCATCTCCAAACTCCCCCTGTCCCTCCCAAAACTTCTTACTCCTCCGTTACTAATTCTAAAAATATACCTCTACCCAATGTCCACGCAATTGATAAGCCACTAACTAAATTAATATCAGAACTTCCCTCTTTAATCACTCCCCTCATTACGCTCCTTACAGCTGTTCCAAATAAACAGCTTGTTCCATAGTCCGATACTCCGATTACCTTTCTTATCTCATAATTAAATTAAATTAAAATATTTTTAATCGCCAGATATGTAAATGTAATTATTGTACCTTATATAGGTCTTCAATTCATATTATTATATTAATATTTTAAGTCAATATCACAATGTTATGTTTAATGTTGTACTAGTACAATTCTGTAATTGTTGAGCTATCATAGTTTAAACTAGAAGCTAATAAAAAAAAAAAAAAAAATAAGAGTTATCCGTTATTACGCAACGGTGACACGTAGAATATGTGTACCGTTTCAAGTTTACTCACTGAATGTAGATATTAGTGATATTACTTTATATTATTATTATTTAATTGTTTGTTGAAAGTTTATTTTAAAACGTACTTTTACCAAGCTTTCTGGCATACGATTTGATTAACTTACTATTTTGGCCTAGTGACTACTATACACTTTGAAAACCAATATTTGTGGGTATATGTAAAACCCGCAATCCTAACCCGAATACTGAAATTTTCTTAAAAATATACTAATATATATTTCCTTCCATAGCTTAGAAATGTGGATTACTAGTCTTGAATTTGAATTTCATCGTATAATCTAACAGCTGGAACTGAAATACGGGTAAAGGTTCAATATTTGATGTTTAAAGTTCTCGTGGGACTACTTTTTTGTAAATCAAAATTTGTAGTGCCTACCGCCTACCTAACACCTACCTTTATCATTTTACTATTCTATTTGAAAAAAAAAAATAAAATACATTTATCGTTTTAAGATGTTCACACTATTATTTTGAATCATAGCTTCTTCTTCTCTCAGTGTCCGGTGCTGAACAATTTTATTAATTGGGTATATAAGTTATGCACACTAGTTAACAATTTAACATAGGTATCGTATCAAATACAAATATTTATGTCAATAAATGAATAATTATAGAATAGAATAAAACGAAAATAGTGTGATAGGTCACTGGTATAACTCGTATAAGTAATAGTTAAGCATAATAATAACGAGTGCATAGTATTGTCCAGTGGTCAAATCTCGTTTGTGAGCCAGTAGGTTGCTACATATATTGCTCAATCATTAACTGAGATATAGCTGAAAATTTAAATATTTCAACTAGAAATAATTTAAAATAAAAATTGAATAACATTTAATATACGAGCATACGTATATGGATATTTATGAGTATCTATAAATAAGATCAATAATATAATATCTATTTTGGAATTTATTTAATAAGAATTATGTACTGTTTATAAATTGAATCTGCCTTGGTTTGAATATAATATTATGACGCTTAACCATGATTAATTTACTATTTTTTTCCCCAATAATTTTGAAGGTTATCATTTATCAATTATGTTTTTCTATAGTTAAATATACATACATATATGTAATATAATATATACTATACAGGATGTATATTATAGATAGTCTTATACACTATTTATGATGGATGGATAAATGGGACACTGTAACATTGACAGCAAAGTGAAGATAACGTGAATAACACCTACATTTGTATATTGATTTTATTTTAATAAACTCAAAATTCAAGGTATGATAATATAATTGAGTTATTATTTATACTTATATTATTGTGGTAGTATTTGTATGTCTATACATTATATTAGTTTAAAAATGTAAATATTGTTGTTGTATACAAATATTGTTCTGTATGGAATAAATAGTAAATACGATTTGAATAATATCGTATCAATAAAACATTAATGTTTGTTTCATCTTTTGAAATGTCTATAGTTACATACTAAACATATTAAATATTACAGGATACAAAGATAGCTACCTTGTATACTATATATTGCTAATATTGTCCATATTTTTATGGAAAAATATTTTGAAGATTAAATAATGGGTTTAAAACGAAATGTTTATATCTATTACATT